GGGCGCTATACGGGGTGGCAGGCTGCAGAGCTCAAGGGGCTTGGTCCCAAACCGTCCTGAAGCCAAAGGCTGCTGCGCTCTAGGAAATGGAGTGGCTTCCAACCGATGGAACTCGCACTCTTTAAACTGTTGTCTGAGGAGGTCGGCAGGTGGTGAGGTGGTTAAGGTGCTGGACTCCCACAAGGCACACCAGGTTCGAGTCCTGGATCTGGTGGCTTGTTCTCTCTCTCTCTCTCTCTGTCCCTCTCTGGTCAAATTTAAATAAATTAAATAAATTAAGTTTTTTAAAAAAATCTTTAAAAAAGTGTTACCCGAGGGTATGTGTTGACGGGAAGAGGTTTGAATAACCGAGAATGAGAAAAACCAGTACTAAAATATGGACCCATTAGAAAGGTGCGAGGATGCGTGTACAGACAGCTCTGAAAGGGCACTGGTGAGCTCTGGGTGACAAGGAGTTTCTTGTTAAAAGTTTCTTCTTCCTGATCAAATTCAGTTTTCCAGTCTTTTTGTTTTCTTTAATTAATTTTATTATTTTTACTATCGGACTTGTGTACTCACCAGAGAGAGAGAGACAGAGACAGAGACAGAGAGAGAGAGACAGAGAAAGAAAGACAGAAAGCAAACCACCAGATCTGGAACTTGAACTGTGGTCCTGTATGTGAGAGTCCAGCACCTTAACTATAATGCCACTGGCTGGTTCTGAGTTTCCGAGTCTTTCAAGAACTAAGTATACGTTGTTTTTTGTGTCTGTTGGGAGCCTCCGTTGACTGCCGAGTCTGCTCTCCCAACCTCAGCCACCCAGCCCAGGAATCGGTGGCAGAAGGACTCCCGAGGCTTGTCCCTGTCGCAGTGCAGGCTGCCAGTGTGGAGCCCACCAGTTCCCCAACAGCGAATGTGCCTTCAGGGCTTGGTGGGTCTAGGAAGCAGCCGTCTAGATGTCGCAGGGTGGTTCTGGGGTACGAATCGGGCCGGGTCCATCAGCATCAGCACTTCTTTTCTCCTGAGGTGTACCTCTTTCTTCCATGAGCCAGAAAGACAGAGAGCACTCCTAACAGGGGCTTGCTCCTGGATCCAGCCCCGGGCAGCCCCAGACCACAGGTGCGCATGTGCTAACTACCTGAGGGGGTCTCCAGACTGCCGGGCAGCCTCCCTGGGCTTAGTGTCTTACCCCTGCTCCGCCGTCTGGTCCCACAGGCTGCTCTTCCTAACACGGGCTCGCAGGCTGTGTTCAGACCCTGAAGGAGTCTAGGGACAGTCACCCCAAAACATGGCACCTTGGTAGAGGGTACTGCAAAGGCCCCTGGAGATCAGCAGGCGCTGGAGGGGGCTTTACCCTGACCCACTAAAGAGCACCACCACCTTCGGGACTTCTCTTTCTTTGTTGCTTGGTGACTGTTCAGTGTTTGTAAGTACTCCTCACTTAAGGACCACCAATTTAACAGCCACTGGGGCTTGGGACTCCAGCGTGGGGAGCCCCTTCCTCAGTCTGCCTGAGTGTCGGGGATCCCCGTCTCTGTCCTGCCCGTTCCTGCGATCGGTCAGGACTCACTGTAAGAAATGTCTGCAGTCACAAAAGGCTGCATATTTCATTTATAAATTCGTACTTAATTGCACACCCACAGTACAATAGTGGTCAGAATGAATAAAAACGGTCATGCCGGATTTGTATTACTGTGTTGTGATACGTCTTGTCACTTTCTGACCCTAATGTAAGTTCTTTGTCTGGATGGAACTACATCATTATTATTATTTTTAAGGTTTTTGCCATAGGGTGCATGCACTCACTGGACAGAGACAGAGAGACGGTGAGAGAGACAGTGAGAAATCACCCCCCAGGGGGATGGCCATGCTGCAATCCCTTCTACTCTGTTCTCTTCTTGGAATTTTGGGCACACGCACACACACAAGCCTGGCATGGTTTTCAAGCTGCCGGTTTGGCCTCGAGCTGTGGTCAGCCATGTGTGGTCTAGCACCTCAACCACATGCACCCTCTGGCCCGATTATTTCTTGCTGATAAGCAGGACATACATATAAAAGCCTCACATTGAAGCCAGTCCACACACCTGGCTGGAATATCAGGTGAGGCAATCCCAGGGAAGCTCTGTCCTCTGGCCCTCCCTGGCTGTCTCACGGCCCCCCCAGGGCCTCCCAGGGCCCAGACCTCTGTAAAGTGGCCCCTTCAGAACCGTCCTGTGGGTTTGTGCACTTGGGTATGACTGCCGCGAGTCCACCCTGTGTGGATTCACCTAGCAGTGGCGGGATCCCTGATTAGGACTGGGCACAGAGTAATTGAAGATGAAAACGAACAGTTCACAGACAAACGGCCAAACAGTCCCCAGGGGGAGACGCCAGCTTGCCTTCGGAGGCAGACTTAGGAAGACCCTTGACCTGTCACTGAATGCTTCTCGATAGGGCTAGCAAAAACTGTACAAAGCAGACAAGGTTGTATGTGTGTGTGTGTCTTGTTTTTTCCCCCACATCTTTGTCATAGGGATATGCACTCATTGGAGAGAGACAGAGAGACAGAGAGAGAGAGAGAGAGAAAGTGAGAAATCACCTCCCACGGAGGATGGCCAACCTGTAAGCCCTGTCCTCCATTTTTCTCTCAGGTTCGGAGGCATGCATGCACATGAACCTAGCATGCTTTTCAAGCCGCTAGGTCCAGGACTTGAACTGCAAAGTCAGTCATGTGGAATCCAGCACCTTAACCACTGCGCCACCTGCTAGTCCCAAACTAGGCCAGTTCAAGGTGAGTGCGTGGGGAAGAGCTGTTCTATTTGCTTTCTCGCATAATTTTAAGCTCCGCACCGAGGGTCCTATTTTGTCACTTGTGCTGGCCAGGGCAGAGAAACACAGGTAGATGGTAGCAAACCCCCTAGGAGCTGTGCTTGCCTACTGGTCTCGGCCTCAGCCTCAGCCTCAGTGCTGCCAGGCCGAGGCCCAGGATCACCCGCCAAGGCCTGGTTGCCTTGCACCTCTCACTGCCCGGAGGCCCCAGACAGCCACCCTGCTCCTCTCATGCTTCGCAGTTGCCACCCTGCTCCTCTCATGCTTCGCAGTTACGTGTGCCCCTCCCACACGCCTCCCGGAGCAGCACAAACAACAGGCTGCACTCTCCTCTTCCTCAGGGGCCCTTTCCACTCTGCGGATTTGCCTAGAACGACACAATGAATCAGTTCCAAGGCCCACACACACTCCAGAGTTTTAAAAGAAAATTAAGACAGGAGGGCCACAAAGGACCACAGGGGAAGGATTGTTCTTCGGATCAAGATACTCTCCAATATGCAACACGGTCATAGTGACCCCCCTGGAGGGACCCAGCTGCAGGGCTACCGGGGTTTTAGAAACTGACATCCCTGAAAAAAGTAGCTTGTTTGCTGTACACAGCCATTAAATGTGTACAGTATTAACACCCCCTAAACAGCACTGCCAGTCTTAACACGCACGTACACACGCACGGGCATGCACACAGTCAGGCTGTCTCTTCCAGGGCAGGGGGTGGGGTGCGTATCAGGAACCACACCCACTGGTCGTCGGGAAGGTCTTCTGCAGTTCCAGCACAGGGTGTCAGAGCTGAGGGAGACCAGGGGGAGCCTCCGGGGACTCACCCCTCCTGCGATCACGGAGGGGCCACAGGGCCAACACGGGTTCCACGGAACAACTGGATGGAGAACTGTCGCTCACCGGATTGACTCGGGCGTGCACGCGCACACACCCGATGTGATTTTCAAGCTGTGAGACCTAGGACTCGAACCGCGATCAACCATGTGGGAGTCCAGCGCCTTAACCACTACGTCACCTACCGGCTCTGGTTCTTTCCTCCCACACAATTGTTCACCCACAGGCGGTGACGATCCATCTTCTGAAGACATCTTTTGCAAGCGCTGCCCCGGAGGACACAGCACGTGGGGGCTGGCAGGCCCCTCGCTGGCCTTGGCCGCAGGCTCTCCAGTGCCCTTTTCCAGCGTCTCCTCTGGGTGCTGCCCCGGGGCCAGGTGGAGGGACAGGACAGCACTGCTGGGCAGTTAGAGAGGACACCGCAGACCCCTGAGGGCGGGAGTCTGGGAGGGTCGCTGCGGTGTCTGCGTGGATGGCCAGCACCCGTGTCCTGACAGCACAGATGGTGCCACAGTCGGGCGCATGGACCAGACCCTGCACCATGTCGGCCTGGAGGAAGAGGAGGCCAATGAAGAGACAGGGGGTCACTTTCAGTGAGGAAAGGGTGAGGCTCCGCAGTGATCCTGATGGCTCTGATTTCCCGGCCACGCCCGCACAGATTACCTGAGATGATGCGCCTTTGTTTTGGAATTACCGTGCATTCTGCCCTGTGTGGTGGGATCTGAGGCCCACCCGGCCTTAGGAGGTGGCGGTGCAGACTGCAGTGGGATGCACCATGGGGCCACACTCCTGTCCTGTAAGAGTGGCCTGAGGTTGGGCTCAGTGGGTCCCCGGTGCTCAGAGGGTGGCGGCTGCCACCAGATGCGGGAGCCCACAGCTCCACCAGAAGAGCCAGTGGCAACTTCCGGTTCTTTCCTTGAGTTGTTATTGACTACTTTTTTTTTTTTTTTAAGGTTTTTGCCATAGTGTACACATGTTTGCTGGAGAGAGACAGAGTCAGTGAGAGGGAAAGTGAGAAATCGCCCTCCAGGGGGACGCCCACACCTCTCCTTCCCCTCCATTCTCCTCCTCGATTGGGCACACACACACACACACACACATACACGCACGTGTGCGACTGGTGAGACTTTCAAGCTGCCACGTCTGGGACTTGAACTGCGGTCTGTCATGTGGGAATTCAGCACCTTAACCACAATGCCGGAGCTTTTATTAGCTAGGCCCACACTGCAGGAAGGAGGATCAAAGAATGCCAACACGCTGGGATTGACGGAGTTCTGAACGCGTGTTCTCGCAGGCTCATTTGATCCCAAAGGAAGTCCTTCATTAGCCATTGCTGGGCACTGGGTTCATTCCCCTCCCCGACGACGCAGGTATCGCCCTCTCAAATGACCAGCTTTCTCCGTCTGTGTGTGAGTCCTCGCACGCCACAGGTTACGGCGATCACACTCCTCCCAATCCTACCACATTTAAATAAGCGTCGGAGGCCTTGCCACCCACAACCCACTCACGGGGACCTCGACCCCTTATGAAGCGGTGTCCCCTCCCCTCGAGCCATGGTCATCCTGCGGTATTAGACAGGCAGTCCAGACAGCCTCTGGGGGAAGCCCACCCTCAGAGGGAGCGGTCGGAGTGTCTCCCTGACACTCCCACAAGGGACCAGGAAACGACTGGGTGCTGACATTCGGGCCTAATAGGAACCTTATCAGAGGCATTTCCTCCCGAGGTAAAGTGGTCAAAGGTTGAATTCTGTACTCTGAGGGAGGAAGGGCACCCTCAGGCTGAGAGAAAGAGGGGGAGAGAGGGAAAGTGAGAACGCACCCCATGGGGTGATGGTCGCATGGCAACCCCTTTGCTTCCACTGTCTAGGGATTTTAGGTACACACACGCACACACACATACCTGGCATGTTCTTTTTTTCTTTTCTTTCTTTCTTTCTTTCTTTTTTTTTTTTTTGAGAGAGTTTTTTGCTATAAGGCGCGTTCGCTCACCAGAAAGACAGAGACAGGGAGACAAAGTGAGAAATCACCCCCCAGGGGGGATGGCCACGCCGCAGTCCCTTCTCCTCCAGTCTCCTTTCAGGATCTTGGGCACGTACGCACACGCGCCCAGCGTGAGTTTAAGCCACCAGGTCCAGGACTCGAACCGCGGTCGACTACATGGGAGTCCAGTGGCATAGCCATTATGCTAACTGCTGGTCCCCTGGCATGTTTTTTTTAAACTGCCAGGTCTGGGATTTGAATTACCGCATCAGCCATGAGGGATCCAGCTGCCTTAGTCACCCCGCCACTGGTAGACCTCATTCTCAGGGTTTTAAAATTGCGAGATTTATAAAAGTTTCTCAGAAGCATTAAATCCTGAAGCAGCAGAGCATAAAAAATCTAATTTCTGTACTGGCTGGGAACCTGCTTCCTGGCATCCGGAGGCAAGTTCAAAACAAGAATAGTTGGCCGGGAGGAGTTACACAAATCTTCGAAAGCGCCTGTGGGGGGCCAGCAGGTGGCTGGCGGCTGGAAAACCACGCTGGGCCTGTGTGCGTGCTCAAAATCCCGAGAAGAGGATGGGGAAGGGGCTGCAGCGAGGCCATCCCCATGGGCGGTGATTTCTCACTTTCACTCTCATTATCTCTCTGTTTCTCCAGCGAGCACATGTGCCATATAGCAAAAATCTCTCCAGAGAACAGAAAAGAAAGTAACCTACAAGAACACAATGAAAAATAGAATGAAAACAATAGCTCTGGGACCAGCAAGTGACATGGTGATGAACATGCTGGACTCCCACATGGCTGACCATGGTTTGAGTCCTAGACCGCAGCTTGAAAATCATGCCAGGCGTGTGTACATGCGTACCCACAATCCCTAGAGGGGGGAAGAATGGATTCTGAAGTGGCCTCCCCTGGGGGTGATCTCTCACTTTCCCTCTCACCGTCTCTCTCTGGTGAGAGCACACATCCCGTGGTAGAAATCTAGAACAGAAACAGAAACACCACAATTTTTGTCTTGTAAGTTGAGTCTCTAGAGTCAGCTCCAGGCTGGCCTCCGGGAAAGGATCAAAGTGCTCTCATTTTTCTGGACAGTCATAGAATATCTGAAGATACTGTGGGAAACGGGCACTGAAAAACAATTGTCCTGTACTTCAGAGAAAGAAAGCTTTGAAAATTCCCTTCCTAGACTCTACAGCCCTGGGAGGTTCGCTTCCCCTCCTGTAGGACAAGTCCCCATCGGCAGGATCAGGGGATCCCCAGTCAGACCCTGCGGCACGTCATTAGGCTTTAGCTGGAGGAACTGAAACTGGACTTTTTTTTTTTTTTCCTTTATGAGAGAAAGAAAGGGAGAGAGAAAAGGAGAGAAAGACAGAGATGGGTACTTGCTTTTCTTTTTTTTGGAGAGGTTTTTGCTATAGGGCGCATGCCCTTGCCAGGAAGACAGAGAGAGACATAGAGACAGAAAGCGAGAAATCACCCCCCAGGGGGGATGGTCACGCCGCAATCCCTTCTCCTCCATTCTCCTCTCAGGATCTTGGGCACGCACGCACACGCGCCTGGCGTGAGTTTAAGCCACTGGGTCCGAGACTTGAACCGCGGTCGACTACATGGGAGTCCAGAGACAGCCATTACGCTAACTGCTGGTCCCCGAGATGGGTACTTTTGACAGGGTCTCCTGGTGTCATAAGCCTCCGTCCCAGCTTCCCTGTTAGTTAGGATGACAGGGGGAGCATCATGGCCAGCCTGCTAGGTCAGCCCAGGATCTGAACCTGGGTCTCCTGGGTGGCTTCCGGCTTCCCAAGCACTGGTGCAGTTAGTGGCTGGGCTGGTAACTGGAGTTTTAGTTTCTGCTATAGCGTACGTGCACTCAGCAGAGAGAGACGGAGGGGCAGGGGAGAGAACGTGAGAGACCACTTCCCAGGGGCCATGGTCATACACAGTTCCTTTCCCTCCACTCTCCTCTCTGGATTTTGGGCATGCACACACGTGTGCACGGCATGATTTCCAAGCAACTACGTCTGAGACTGGAACTGCACAGTCAGCCATGTGGGAGCCAGTGCCTTAACCTCCAGGCCACCTGCTGGCCCAGGAAATGGATTTTTTTTCTTTTTTTTTTATAAGGTCTTTGGCATACGGCACATGTGCTCACTGGAGAGAAACAAGAAACCGTGAGAGGGAAAGTGAGAAATCACCCCTCGGGAGATATGGCCACGCTGCAATCCCTTCTCTTCCATTCTTCTCTTGGGATCTTGGGCATACACACACACACCTGATGTGATTTTTAAGCCACCGGGTCCAGGACTCGAACTGTGGTCGACTATGTGGGAGTCCAGCTTCTTAACCACCATGCCACCCTCTGGCCTAGGAACTGGATTTTCAAATGGACACTGTACAACTTCCTCTACTCCTAACAGTCAGCGGCACCATCATCCTTACCTGTGATCTATGATGCTGTTCCAGCTGTTGGGGGTCTCTGGACGGCCGCCTTCACGGCCTGCATCGCAGGACACCCCAATATCCTTTGCTCTTCTTAGTACCCCTTCACCACTCTAGCATCTGACTCCTTATCTGACGTCTTATCTATAAATTTGAGGTGGAGACTCATTATGTAAATCTAATGCCACCATACTTAATGCCACCGTTGTTGTTGTTGTTGTTGTTGTTGTTGTTAGTTTGCTATGGGGCACCTGTGCTAGCTGGAGAAAGAGGGAAAGTGAGCGGGAGGATGGCCACACTGCAACCCCTTCTTTATTCTCCTCTTGGGAATTTGGGCATGCGCATATGCACACCTGGTGTTTTTCCCAGCAGCTGGGTCCGGGGTCTCAGCTGTCAGTCGTCCTGTGAGACCCAGCTACCTCGACCACCGACCACCGTACTACCTGGCTGGCCAGCAAGGTTCGATTTCTTTGCTTTCAGATCAAACTTTACATTTCCTACTTTCTCTAATGGAAACTTACCTTTATTGGAAATCCTCCCAAGAAGATACAAAGTTCCAGCAGCTTCTGGCTTCACATGCAAATGAGACTGGCCTGCTACTGACCTCAGAGCCTGTTTGCATTTTTAGGAAAAAGAACAAATCTTTCCCTTGTGTAGGCCAATAACCTCTCAAGGGAAGTAGAACAGGGACTTCTTAAGCCTATAATATAGGCCTTTTTCCAAAAGGGCATTTTTGTCCTCACCTCCTAACCCTGTAACACCCCAGTCTAACAGTAAAGAAAAAATATTTAGGGACCGGCAGTTAGCGTAATGGCTATGTCACTGGACTCCCACGTAGTCGACCGCGGTTCATGTCCCAGACCCAGTGGTTTAAAACTCACGCCGGGCGCATGTGCGTATGTGCCCAAGATCCCGAGAGGAGAATGGAGGAGAAGGGATTGCGGCGTGACCATCCCCCCTCGTGGATGATTTCTTGCTTTCTGTCTCTGTCTTTCTTCTCTTCCTGGTGAGCACACATGTCCTATAGCAAAACCCTCTCCAGAAAAAGAAAGAAGAAAGAAAGAAAGAAAGAAAGAGAAGGAGAGAGAGAGAGAGAGAGAAAGAAAGGAAGGAAGGAAGGAAGGAAGGAAGGAAGGAAGGAAGGAAGGAAGGAAGGAAGAAAGAAGAAAGAAAGAAGAAAGAAAGAAAAAGAAAATTTGATTCAGATGGGAATCAAATCGGTTGATTCCTACAAGACTGAAGAGGCATGCACTCCCTTGCCACCTCTTGCCTCCCTGGAGTGCCTGACCAGCGGCCACCCTTCCCTCCAGCCCTGCTAATAAGCAGCCTCTGCTCGGCCTTCCCCTGCTGTTGCACCCTGACCAGAACTTCCCTCTCTGCATTTACACTTACAGGGAGATGATCAATGTGGCCTTGCACGTCTAGGCACATCCCGAGTCACCCTGGCCAGTCTTTCAGTCTTACAGAAAATTAGATTCTATAATTAACCAAGGCCCCACCCTTGTTCAATAGACTGATGACTTCTTACTTTGTAACCCAATGAAGGTGCCCTGAGAGATGCCTTCATTCTTCTAAAAGCTCTAGCCAAACAAGGCCATAAAGCCTCCAGATCTAAGCTTCCGTGGGCTCAAGCGACTGCTGCCTACCTAGGACATGAGGGATCTTAGGGGCCTCAAAAGCTCACCTCAGGGACCAGCAGTTGGCGTAATGGTTATGTCGCTGGACTCCCACGTAGCCTACCGTGGTTCAAGTCCTGGACCCAGTGGCTTAAACTTACACTGGGCGCGTGTGCGTGCGTGCCCAAGATCCCAAGAGGAGAATGGGGGAGAAGGGATTGTGGCGTGGCCATCCCCCCTGGGGGGTGATTTCTCGCTTTCTGTCTCTCTCTGTCTTTCTGGTGAGTGCACATGCCCTTGAGCAAAAATCTCTCAAAAAAAAACACAAAAAGCAAACAAACAAAAAAACCACACACACACACACACACATACACAAACAAACACAAAACTCACCCCAAAGCATCTAGAGCTGGCTTTGTCCACTCCCTGAGTCTCTTAGAGCAGCTGGCTTGCTGTCACAGTCAGTGGATCCCTAATTTTGCTGCTCTTGCTAAGTCTTTTTTTAGAGAGAGATTTTTGCTATAGGGCACATGCACTCGCCAGAGAGACAGAGACAGAGAGACAGAAAGCAAGAAATCACCTCCCAGAGGGGATGACCATGCGCAATCCCTTCTCCTTCATTCTCCTCTCAGGATTTTGGCCACATATGCGCGTCTGACATCAGTTTAAAGCCTCCAGGACCAGGACTTGAACCTGGCTGACTACATGGGAGGCCAGCGATGTAACCATTACTCCATCTGCTGGCCCTGCAGTCTTGCTAAATCTACACCTTCCTCCCTGACACTGCTGCAGAAGCCATTTTCTGACCCTCAGAAAAATTCATTAGGCTCCTCTAAAACCTTAAAATTAACATTGTATGGGGCCTGCTGGTGAGGTTGTGGTTAGACACTGCACTCCCACGTGCCAGACTGCAGTTCAAGTCCCAGACCTGGCCCTTGAAAATCATGTCGACCCTATAGCAAAAATCTCTCTTCAAAAAAAGAAAGAAAGAGAAAGAAAGAAAGGAAGAAAGAAGGAAAGAAAAAAAGAGAAAGAAAGGAAAAGACAGTCATGCCAGGCGTGTGTGTACATGCCCAGAATTCCGAGAGGAGAAGGGGTCGTAGTGCACATCCCCCTTGGGGGTGATTTCTCACTTTCCTTCTCTCTGGCAAGCACATATGCCCTACGGCAACACCTGCCCCTCCCCCCAACATGAGCAGTCTCTGGGTAAACTCTCAGCTTACCCAGTTTTACACCTGCTCACTTGCGTTGCTGTGGAAGAAATGGAACTGAGGCTGGTATTCTGGGGCAGCCATCTCCTTGCGCATCTGTGGCCTTTCCTCAGTTCATGACACAGCGCTGTGCGCGTGGGGTCAGCCACCGTTAGCAAGCCCGATGGCCCAGTCCCCCACCCTCCTCGCCCTTGGACCCTAATCTGGCCTCTGTCCTACCCACCTCCAGGACAGAGACCCCACCACATTCCCCACCATTGTAAATATGGTTTCAAAGTCTCTGTCAGACATCTTTTAAACAATCCAGACTGGGTTTTTTTGTTTGTTTGTTTTGTTTTTTATGATGGCTCTTTGTAAACAAAACTTTAAGGTAGGGGCCAGCAGATGGCGTAATGGCTACATCCCTGGACTCCCATGTAGTCGACTGAGGCTTGAGTCTCGGACCCGGGGGCCTAAAACTCATGCCGAGTGCATGTGCGTGCCTAAGATCCCGAGAGGAGAATGGAGGAGAAGGGATTGTGGCATGGCCATCCTCTGGGGGAGGGTGTGACTTCTCGCTTTCTGTGTCTCTCTCTTTCCAGTGAGCTCATGTGCCCTCTAGTAAAAACTTCTCTTTAAAAAACAAACAAAAAACTTTAAGGCAACATGAGAATGGGCTGCACTTTGGTTTCCCGGAGACTCTTGAACATGGTTTGCCTCAAGTTCCTCAGCTGTGGAGCTTGCAGCCATGACAAGAGGCTGCATAGGTGGCATGGTGGCTGAGGAGCTGGACTCCCACAGGGCCGACCACGGTTCGAGTCTTGGACCTGGAGGCTTGCTTTCTCTCTCGCTGCCTCTCTCTGATGAACATGTGTGCCCTATAGCAAATTTAAGAAGAAAAAAAAAAAGAATAAAATTAAATAACTAATTCTGAGGGAGGGGAAAAAAGAAAGAAGGAAGACTGCCCCAGTTCCTGAGGACTCCCTGGGGGTTTATCTTGCGGACTCTTTGGGGGTTTCTCAGTGTGGACCGTTGGTTCCCTCTGGCACTCCTATTGCGGATGGCGCATCATTGCTGCCTGGAGCCTGCCTGCTCATCTTCCTGCCAACGCCGCTAGAGTCTGCACTCCAGCCTGGTGAGCCCACGCTGGGTCTCGAGGCCATGACCGGGAACACGGGGCTGCTGAACACAGCAGAACCGCTCCCCGAAGCCTGCCCTCCAGGCTGACTAGTGGCTGACCTTGTTATTGGCCAGTACCCCACAGTAGAGGATGCGTGGATGCAAAAGGCCATCAGACGGGAGGTACACTGGCTGGGACAGCCTTCCTACGACCCGGAGTTCGGACATTGGGCTTGCCTGGGTCTCTCATCACGTGGGACGTACGTGCAGATGGGGGACAATTAAGGAACTGAAAGGCAGTTGGTTCTGCAACAGTTCTGACCAAATTATTTCCCAGTGAACTACCTGGGGATTTCTGGAGGACAGCAGCGTACTCCAGGAAGTCCTCCAGGGCCCGCGTGGCTTCTTGCAGCCCTAACAGATTTCACACATCGGCCTCCGGCTCCGAGCTCTCCTCACTGCCGGGTGGTCTGTGTGTCGTGGCTAGTCTGAAGGCTACCCAGCCAGATGCGCTGATGCGACGACATGGTAAAAACTACTAACTGAGATCCTCTCACGTTTTACACCCCTTCGCGGACCAAGTCAGGCCAAAGGACCCATTTTACAGCAGAAATAAACCATTTGCTGGGAACGCTCTGAGGCACTCATTAAAATTCATACCCCACACCACCCCAACCTGCCGGGGACCAGCCTCGGCGGGGGTGGGTTTGCTCGAAGGAGGC